GCAACCCCTTACCCCCACCTGGCACCAGGCCAGGGCCTTGCTGGGGGTGGAGGCAACTGGGCGCAAGCTCCTCACCTGTCAGCCTTTTGGGGAGTGCCCCCCTCAGCCACTCTCTGTCCTACACTCCACAGTAGGTCCCTGGGCCTGGCCTTCTCTCACCCAACTCAGCAGAGCAGGCAGATATCTTCTCGAGCAGCTGGGCCCTTGGGCATCCTCTGCCTCAAGGGCTTTGAAACTGTGTTTTCACAGCAATAGGCAGATATTTCCCTAAATGAAAACTGCAGAGGCCATTATGCAAAATGGACAGGGTGGGGTCAGCCCTGTAGTCCTTTCACCCACCTGCATAATGGCCCTCCTGGATCCTGCTGCCAGGGCCTTGCCAAATAGTCTCAGCTACTAGCTGAGCTACCCTCTTCTCACAAGGAGAGTGAGGTCCAGAAAAGAGTTGTACAGTCAGGGCCTTGCCAGGTCTCAGTGAGGCCAAAGTCAGGGAGGAGGGCCCAACAAGCTTTCTCAGCCTGGAATGCACGATTAGGACATGGGACCACACATGAGGAGCCTTGGGAAAGAAAAATGACCGGTCCTACTCAGATCAGTCAACCCAGAATAGGGCATGGGCATGTTTACTATAAATGCGCAGTCAGCAGTGAGAGGGCTACTAGGCAAGTGGGTCACGGAAGAGGCGCCACCCACTGGCAGGGCTGAGAGTGCAGGCAAGCAGAGGGCCTAAGTGGACCCCAGCATGCATGGCAGAGGTCAGCCTGGCTACACCAAGGAGCTTCCCACTATAATGAGACATCTTGCTTTCTTCAGATGTTAATTCACTTATTTCCCACAACAGCATCATGAAGTTGATAACAGTTAATATCCTCATTTTAAAGTGAGCAGAGAAGGGGAACCTCTAACCGAAGATCCCCAGGAAGGAAGCATCAGTGCCAGTTCTGATTCTGGCTGACTCCAGCTGCTACCAGCCTGAAGCCCAGCGAGCAGCCTCACGACAGACCTTCTCCTGCCATTGCAGGAGTGAGTCTACTTCCTCGCACAGTGATAGCCCAACAGGAATGCCAGGGCACCGAGAGGCGAGCAGGGGGCATCAGCCAATGGGGACACTAGTCAGGGACTGAGTCAGTGGACAGCAGTGGAGAGCAGGGAGATTTTTCTTTCTTTCTTTTTTTGGGGGGACTTTTTTTTTTCAGAGAGCAGGGACATTTTTAAATACTTTTTTTTTTTTGGCCGGGGCTGGGTTTGAACCCTATACCTGCAGCATATGGGGCTGGTGCCCCACCCTTTTGAGCCACAGGTGCAGGGACATTTTAAACAGTCAGATGTTAGAATAGCCATCCCTTACTTCTCGGTGTGAGCTGGAGTTCACAGTCTTCTCTCCCAGAGGCTCAGAATTCTAGGTTTCATCTCTCAGGATGTCCGGTCACCAGGATTTTAGGCATTCTCCTTGGGGCCACATACGCTGAGGGCAGCTGTGCCCCAGGCTGGCCTTGTCAGAGCCATGCTTCTTGCTGTTCCAGACAGTTTCTGGGGATGGCCCCACTGAGTGCCAGAAGACCACAGGCTGGTTCCCTGGGCACAGATGTCAAGCCGGTACGAGGAAGGAAAGGCTCAAACTGTGGGAGGGTTGCCTGTTAGGTTCCTGTCCCTCCAGTGGTGGCCAAGTGAGTAAGGTAAAGCCCAACACCAGCAGCATCCAGGCTGCTTGGCCTCTGCCACCATAGCCTCATGTTCCTCGGCCTCCAGCGGCTCCTGAGGGATTGGGCTGGAGTTTTCCAGGGTCCAGGGTTCCCTCCTCTTTCCACCCACACACTCACCCTTGCAACTGCAGCCTCCCTGCTCGCCACCTAGGCAGCTGCCCCCTGGCCCTGACCCCTCCTTGAAGCCTCAGCTCCACACATCTGAAACTGCTTTCCTGATCTTCATCTCCTCTCCCCAGAGTACCTGGTTCTTCCTTCACCTTTTCCTCCAGTCGCTCAAGTGGAGCACCGGGGGTCATCCTGGATTCTCCCTCTCCCACCTCATTCCCCATCCTATTCATCACCTTGCTGGTCTCCATTC